CACATGATACTAAGATAAATTATAGAAGAAACTTTAACCTGTATAAAAGTTTTGTTAAAATAACTATTTACATGCAGAACTTCACTAAATAGAGTCAATATAAATGAAGTAGGCACACTTCTTTCTCCTCCTAGATGGTCTAAGACATATTTCAATGATGGTAGAGATTTTGTATGCATATCAGGAGGGATACGTCAAATAAAAAATAAGCTTGTGAGACAAAAAAGTAATAGAAAGGAATAATAGGAAAATTAATAGGGAAGTCATTTGTGAGAGAAGAACTAGATGTACTTGAAACCAGAGGCAAATCACATGATCTTTACGAACCTAATCAGAGACCTCATGAAGCGATGAGGTTTCAAAACCAAATAATCTAAGAGATTCATTGGTGAGTTAATATAAGTGTTCAAACAGAAAGCAAATGGAGTGTGAGCCTTGTAAACAGATGGGGAAAATGATTACTCGAATGAATTTGAAAACATTTACCTGAAAGGTCACCATCTTGAAGAAAGACAAAGGTGATTCTAAGAACTACATGATGTAGGGAAAGTCCCTTAGGTAGAATTTCTCAGACCTGATCATCAGTATGTATCGATTTGCTCAAGTGGGCCCAGTAACGTCTCTATCATGAGACTTGTTGTTACTGTGTTTGGCATATCGAATACGTCATGGGTAGCTTGCCAGGCTCTGCCGTGAGGCTGAGATACTCTCAGTAGCTTGCTGGGCTCTCCGAGAGGGGCGGAGGAATCGAACTCGGGTCGGCCATGTTGGCTGCTTGTAAGGCAAATGCCCTACCGCTGTGCTATCGTCTGCCCTCTTGCAGTTGAGAACTAACTTATTTTGGCTTTTTCCCTGATACTTTTCAGTTGATTTAACTCAACTTGTTTCTTTATTCTTTTCTGTGATGTATTTGAACAAGTGTAGGGTTATCTAACAAATAGATTCACGCTAGATATGGCAACTTTACCAAAATATAGCATGCATTAAGTGGCTTCATTTCAAACAGAAGTGGTGCCTTCCTTTGGTTGATTTGCTAAGCCATGACTATCTTCAAGGCTGTTTAGTGCAAACATGCAGAAAATTAGTTGGACTTTCCTCTTGTTGGAATTGGTTCCTTGATCTAGTCCATTTCTGTAGCTATCTGAACTTTCTTTATCAAAATGGTATATTTGTTTTCTTTAGGCCAAGTCAGGTCCAGGGACATTTTAAAAGTTACTGTGTCCCACAATCCACCAATAATTTAAAAACAGGGGAGAAAAGAAGCCTACTTTCTCATAAGAACGTTGAATCACTGTTTAAGTTCAGCAGGAATATAAAGGTAAGCTGACCTGAAATGCAATACCTAGTTAACACACACACACACACACACACACACACACACACACACACACACACACACCCATATTTTCAGATGTCAGTATATGTCTTTAGCTATCGTGAGACTAGGTAACAGAAGGCAAAAGGGAATATTTAAGTTTGTAGTTTGAAAAGGATAATTCGGTAGTAGTGTCAGATGTTTGCATTCATCTTGATAGCCTCCTAAATTATCAACTGAGTTTTTTGTTACGTTGCTCAACCATATTCTGCCTTGGCTTCCTTTATTCCATATGAGAGGGCTTTTATAACTGCACTTATGAGGATTACATAAATCTATGTAAGGCATTATATGTTAAATAAATACCAGCTATATTTATGAATATTATGTTATGATTGAGATTGTAGAACCCTAAAAGTAGAATCAAGCTCCATATGCCTGGCTTACGTTTCTTATGTGGTTGAGCCTTTGGCCAATCACTCTTCAAATATCAGAGCACTATGGGAATGTTAGCTATGGACAAAGTTTCTGTTTTACCACAGACCGTGAAGGTCTGGAAGCTAAAAATGTACCAAGAGGCCACTTTGGTGATGGTGTGAAGTAACTTGGTAAATGGATACTATGAACTTAAATACATAATTATAACCTAGACTATAATAAAACTTTTTGAAAAATAACAACAGGGAGATGTTTCCTATAACTCCAGCCTAAAGATTCTAGCTTCTACTAATTCAGCAAGTAATAAGTAATATTTTCAATTCTCTTCAGCTAATATATATATACATATATATGTATATATATATATACTTTAGGAGATCCTATAATTTTTGAGAATTATCATTAATTACCAAGGTCTAAAAGTGCTCCCACTTCCATTTACTTAATGGACACTTCTGAAAAATTAAAAAAAATGAGTGTCATATTGCATTTTCATTGAAGTTTGTGGAAGTTTTTGGGCACAATAACTTCAATAATGAATATAAAAAGATAGTTCACCAGATTAAACAAATGGTCTTGGATTTAATTGCTAATTTGCTGCCCTAATGATAATTCCAGACAGGAGAAAAACAGAGTGAAGGGACCTGCCTAGAGTTCTATGCTGCTTATAATGATAAATAAGATCCTTTGGGTTTAATTAGAGGACTTAGGACCATACAGGAAGCATGCTAACTTTAAAAAGGGAACGTTGGACATCTGGAAGATGAGGCTACATTTGGTCACTTGCCTTTTGGAAATGAAATCCATGAAATTGTACCTGTCCAAAAAGGAGTGAAACTCACACCTCGGGTTTGTACCTGGGCAAAGTGACAAAGGAAAATGTGAGTGGCCTACAGAATAGAATGATTCAGTGGAGACAAATGTAATAGGTATTTCACAAGGAATTTAGAGTGATCACTGGTTTACTTGTTTCTAGCATAAGTCATTTGAAAGGAGGAGTAATGGACTAGGACGGATAGTATAGAGGTTAAGGTTCTTACCTGGCATGCAGATGATCCCGGCTCAATCCCTGAGCACCACCAGGAGTGATCCCTGGACACAGAGCCAGGAGTAAGGCCTGAGCACAGCTGGGTGTAGCTCCCAAACCAAAACCAACCCAATAAAAATAAATAAAAAGAAGAGTAGGTACATAGAAGTCATAAAAGTGTGTTCTTCCTGAGCAAAACCACACATAGCCTTTGGAATTCACAACCACACAAGATGGTGGCTGGCATCAGAGAGTCATTTAGGAAAAGAGTGATAGAAGGAACACCTGTGCTTAGACAGGCTCAGTGGAAAAAGTGAGGGGACATATATAACAGTAGCTACACAACAGCTGCAGCAATGTTGGGAGTGCTGCATATCATTGTCTTCTTACCCCTTTTCTCTACCACCAATGGCATAAAACATGTGTGTCTCTCTCTCTATATATGTATATATATATATATAAACTACATATACATAATGTGTAAATAAATATAGGTAGCTATATGTGTCTAAATTACAGATATATGTATGCACATTCATCTTACTATCTTACATTACAAATAATAATAAGAGAAGAGATAGGGCCCTTTTTCTCTATTGTTTTCCAAAGCTATTAGTTTTTATTTATTCATTCCTTTTTTGGCTTTAGATATATCTTTGAGACAATTACCTGTGTACTTAATAGCTGATCCTATCTACGTGTAAAATTGCGTGGGATAGAAATAAAAATTCCAGCTCTTACTATATTTTCAATTTCCCCTCTTTTTTCCTCTACAAAAATCGATGGGTTTTAATGACTCTAAGTGACTTGGAATCTCCTCTACACAGGAAGGCAAAATTTAAATTTCATAATTTACTCTCTAGACTTAAACTACTAAAAAGCAGTGGGAAAATCTTAAGGGTATGGTCTAGAGACAAGAGTTAGTGAATTGGAAAGGTAGTGAAAGGCTGGATTGAAAGGTTTAATACTTATGATCTTGTGTTCTGCTGTGGTTACCTACTGCTTTGGAGACACAGATAGGACAGGGCAGGCCTGCATAAAGAATGAAGCAATCCATAAATACCAGACATAGAATGAAAAATCAAAATGAAATAAGCACGACTGAACTATCATGGTCTTTTAGTGGTAAAATATTAACTTTGTCTTTTCATTGAATGACATAACCAAATACAGAAAAAAATGACTATTTAGGAAGAGGAAAATATTGAAGCAATGCATTTAAACAGTTTGAATAACATGTGATTTGCATACTCAAGGTATCAGTAGACCAGTTAAAAAAAGTTCCCCAATCAAATATCTCTTCTAAATTATGATTCAGCGAAAAATTTCACACTTTTTTAGTGACAGATGGTCCTGTTTTTCCAATGATATATTTTACATAATATTTGACTTTGTTGTTACCATATCTTTGGAGGCTGAAGAGATAGTACAGTGGGTAGCTGCATGCAGTTAACCAGGGTTTAATCCTGGGTACCAGATATGGTTCTCAAAGCTTTGCCAGGAGTGATCCCTGAGCACAGGTGTGAGCCCTGAGTATTACTGCATGTGCACCTCTGCCCCCTGCAAAAACTCCAAAACAAAACAAAACAAAAACCTACAAAGTATCAAATATTAAAAAATAAAAAGAAAATACCTTAATTTGTTTATGCATAAACATGTTGAATGCTTCCAAGGAATCTCAGTAGTTGAGTCTCTAAAAATCTAGCTTATCTTTGAAGTGGTATATCAGTTCTTCAAATTCATAAACAAGCTGAATAATTAGACTGAAAACAAAAAGCTATTTTTAGGATACATTCCATATATAAAGCCATGCACATAATGCTTTGACTCAAATAATATTTTTATAAGGCTTTGTTGTTGTTTGAGGTCTATATTTGGAGTGACAACTTTTGTTTTTGATGATTATTCCATTCTGAAACAATTTTCTTTCTGCCCAATTAAACAAGAATTAAGAGCACATTTCTATCTGATGAGGTTTAAACTTCTTAACTGCTTGATCCAGAAATGACGACCCAAAGTTTTGTTCTTTTGTCTCTGTATAGAGGGGCTCAACAGAAAACAAAACCAATTCCCTTAAGTTTTATGGGAGGGGAAGGCTGCCTTTTTTGTTTTTCTTTGCTTTGATCTTAACATGTTTCACATATTTTTTATTGACTGTTGAATATAAAAAGCCACAGCCTCATCTGTTTCCCCGCCCCCGCCTCCCCCAATATATTCACTGTAAAGCATACAATGCCTTCCAATCTAAAGCAAAATGCCTAGGTTCAACATTTCAAAGTCAATGTATCATTACAGTTGATAGAAAGATTTCCAGAGTGTAAGAAAGCTCTCTTTTCTTTGATTAATATGTCACAGACTGCTAGAAATATATCCATGCACATTAGACAACAAATTACAGGATGTAGACAAACACACATGCTTTTTAGTTCCCTTTTCCTACCATTGCAAAAGGCTGTTGCAGTTACTGTACCAGCTGGCTAGCTTATTGCTTTTATAATGCAATCCATAATGCAAAAACAGTTCTCTTCCAAGCATTTTTGAGCAACTTAAGTTGTTTATATATAGGTGATTTTCCTATAAGTTTCTGCCAATTGGTGTCATATAATTTGATAAAAATCTTCATTAAATCAGGACAACTTCATTTCTCTCAAACAGAATTATAGGAAAATTATAGTAGTTGATTTGAGGCCATCATCAGGAAGTAAACACACAGTTTTAGAAAATGCAGACAAACTACAAAAATGGACTTGTATAATTAAACATCAAATAATCCAGGTAATAAAATTCATATATTAACTGTCTCTCAGTTGTAGTTAGATCCTTTAAATATTGTCTGACGACCTGAGCATTGGTTCTTTCATCAGAAGAGTGCCTATCCTTAAAGTTTGGAAATTTCAGTTCTTTTGGAGCACCAATCAGCTGTAAAAAGTAATTTGCATCCTCTTCCAAAGTTTCAAATTTCCCTACAAAATCATAGTTAATCAAACATGGATAGCAGAGTTTGCTGACTTTTTCCCAATGAATGTCCATTCCTACTGGGCGGTGGGAATCCAACAAATACTGGACAAACTCCTTGAACTTAACTCCAGATCCATTATTTAATTCTTCTTCACAGGCATTTGGCCGGTATTTCTTTATAATTGCCTTCCCAAATACTGGATGATAGTAACTATTAGGATGTTCAAATTTGTCCCTAAACGCTGATACTAGTCTTTCCATGGGATCACGAACAAACACAGCTTTGGTGTAGGTATTTAAACGAGTATATATCCCTTTTAAATCAAAGCTATCTAACTTTTTTAAATACTTCCCATAGTGGACAGCATCATGGGAAATGTTGTATGTAGAGGGAGCCAATCCATTTAGTACCATTAGAATTCTTTTCCAATTGGAACAGCCAGCTTTGGGTACTTCGCAGTATAACACTTTGTGTTTATCTTCTACATAGATTCTGGATACCGCATGAAAAAGACGTGATTGAAGATGACTCATCCCACCATACTTCTTGCAAAATTCTTGAAGGAAAGATCTGCGTTTCTCTTGGGTCACATCTGTTTTCTTCCACTTGCTATCTTTGACTAGACTTTTGTTTAAAGGGCGAATACTCATGGGCCAATTCATTTCACTGAACTTAAAAAGGGTATTAGCTCCTTGATGTTTTTCAATCAACTTAACTGCCAGAGATCCTCTGGTCCGACTCAAAGCTTCCTCCTTCCCCTGTGGGTTGTTGGTTTTGGTTAAGAACCTAGTAGGACTCCCAGAGTTGAGGAGGTTTTCCTTCAGATGCTCATGCACGTGGGACTGGGGGTTCTGTTAAAACAGAAATGGGAAAATGTTGAGAGCACAATAATAAATGTAGGTAGAGCACAATAATAATAAACAGTGCCAGGCTGTTTTCACTCGGGGTGCCCTGGAGGGGGGTGGGCAAGAGCCCTCCCTACCCCAAGGGACCTAGCCTGAGCAGCTGACCTCCACTACCCAGCCACTGCCACACTCCAGGCCTCTTTCCGGACACATCATAAGACACTTCTTACCCATTTTTCATAATTAACACACCATGTTTGATGGAGTTAAGATAGTAGGCAACAAATCATGCTTCTCGGAGAACCCAGCAAGCTACCAGGAGTATCCTGCCCACATGGGCAGAGCCTGGCAAGCTCCCTGTGGCATATTCGAATATGCCAAAACCAGTAACTATAACAGGTCTCATTCCTCTGACCATGAAAGAGCCTCTTGTGTTTGGGAAAGACGAGTAAGGAGAGGCTGCTAAAATCTCAGTGCTGGAATGAATAGAGACATTACTCGGTGCCTGCCCGCTCGAGTAAATCGACAAACAACGGGATGACAGTGATGCAGTGATGATAGATAAGAATCTTAACATATTGGTTTTAAAGTGCTATCCATAACACCTGAGCACTGCAGGGTGTGGTCCAAGCCCTTCCTCCACCAATAAATAAAATTAAAAAAAAAAAACAAAGTGCTATTAAGCAGGCATATATCATACATGTTGTCAGAATAATTTAGCAAATTAGAATATATTAGATACTTTGTTGTAAGGTCTTTCAATCTCATAACAATGAGAAATAGTATTCATGCATAATTTTTAATAAGTGTCTTATTTTATACGTGTTTAATTTGCTTATATGTTTATTAGTCATTTACTGTTAAAGTGTTTCATGACTTTAATGATTTTCTCATGTTGAACTGGACATTATAGGGATGAAAGCACAAGTTAAAGATTTGAATTTATGATCTTAGTAAATTTACTATTATTTTTGTAATCTGTGATTATCAACTATATAACTTGAATTTATGATCTTAGTAAATTTACTATTATTTTTGTAATCTGTGATTATCAACTATATAACTGTACAAAATGCAAAAACAAAGCATAACAAAACCCAAAAGCAACCAAATCCTCAGAAAAGTCATTGCAGTCATGGACAGATTAGAAAGAGACCAGAATTTTCAATTGAGCGTTGTTTTATTGTAATAGAATGCAAAACAATCATTAAGCCTTTGATTCTTGAGCTAATATGAAGTCTGTTGCCTTTTAGCACTGACTTGATTAGTACTTCTAGTAGATACAAAATGTATCAATATTTGAGTTCAAAACTTTGTTATGATCTTAATTTTAAGATCATTCTGTAATGCACAGGATAGTTCAAAGTCATAATATCCAACTTAAAATTGAAGCCAAGACTAATTTTACAATTCTGATGACCACTCTAGTTTGTTAAGCACTTGTTAAAAAACAATGCATTTCCCACTCCACCTTGGAAAACATTTTATTTTTCTAAATTAATTTATCACAATCATTTAATAACAATAATCATACTATTATACCATTTCATGCAAGCATGAAAACTTTGCTCCTTCCCAAGTGCAGAATGTCTAGGGACTCAAAAAGTCTATTTGATATTTTGATGTGTAAAATTGTATCAAAGGAGAATAAAAGTTTTGTTCCTTTGTCAGTGGGATGAATCATTTTATTTAGTATCTATCCTTTATTTCATTACTCCTTCCCACAACTCCGAAACTGGATTATGGAAAACACAGAGACAAGACATACAAAGTAGAATTCTCTGATAGGGACAAGAATTGTCAGGACTTTAGCTTTTACTCTGAATAAACGAGAGAAACTTTCCAAGTCTCTGGAATATGTAGCAAAATGGTCTGACAAACTTGGAAAAAAAAGGAGAAGATTAGCCAGAAGATAAAGATAAAGGATTGTCAGCATCTTACTGGGCACCAGTCCAGAGACAGAGAGAGCAAAGGGAAAAGTTTCCTATGGAGATGTATGTCTATCAATACAAAGAGAATATGGAAACAGATATAAACATATTTCTTATTGCTTCCTCAGTATTTTGAATGGTCTATTACCTATAAAAATTATCCTTGAGTCTTTATTGAATAGACAAATGAATGCACTGAGTTAAGCCTCCAAGGTTTCAGAATTTTTGGCAATGGAGCAAAACAATAAATGAAGAGTTGTAGAAAGGAACCACTTCCAGACATGATGTTTGTTCCATTAAGAGGAGGTTGTTTCTTTTCTAGGGCAGCACTGGGTGAATGACCCGTAACTGTCATATGGTAACTCCCATAATTACATACAATGACTTTCTAAATCTTCAATATTGTTGAGTCAACTATTTGAGGATTCATCCCTAAATCCACTTGTCTGTTAGTATCTCAGAGATTACCAGAAAAAATCTTTACTCTGATCAATGACTTTCAGTTCATAAAGATTTCATAAATAATATAAAGTTTCACATGGAGTTTGAAAGATGATGGAATTATTTGTAGACTGCATGAAGTGCTTGGCACAAAACTGAAATAAAAATGCCACTCTATATATTTATAAATATATAAGTATTATTTATAAATAATTGCTTTAATGATAGTATCTTACCTAGTGACATTGTAAATTTTAAGCTTTCCAGATGCTCATCACTATCCAGACAGTTGTTTGTTTGTCCCTACAGATATACCTTGATCAGTTCCACTAACAAAAGTCAAATAAAAGTAAAATAAGCCTTCCACTGCACTCTATGAAACTCCTTTTTGTGGTCACCAAATAAGCCTTTAATCCCCAGGGACTTCTGGAATGTCTCTTCCCCATGACTTTCCCTCAGTGAAACTTGGCTGACCCCAAGATTCTGCTTTTCTTACACTTCCTCAGATGAAACTCGTTTTTGAGCTACTTGTCTCTCTGACTGGAAGAGAAGGAGCAGTTTTCTTGTACTTCCACTGCTTCCAAGATGCTTTCTTTAGTAAAACTTCTGGCTTCTGCGAAGTGCAGGTCCTGCTGAACCTCCCTTCCCTGTTCGTGCTGTCTTTGACTTTACCGCTGGCCTGTCCACAGTACCCGCAGAAAGGTCTAGCTCTAACTCAAACTTCACTTCTTCATCCCCAGTCTTGCCATTATGTGGACTGACTCTCCAATACAGACAAATGCTTGGCTGCTGAATAGTTCATATTTAATGGAAATGCTTTTTATTTCATACCGACCTTGCCATCGCCAGAATTAATATTATCTCCATCTTGTCTCTGACCACCATCATTTAAATTGTCACTGTCACTGTCCTCATGTTGTTCATTAATTTGCTCGAGCAGGACCAGTAACATTGTGAGACTTGTTACTGTGTTTGGCATATCGAATATGTCACGGATAGCTTGCCAGACTTTGCCGTGAGGGTGAGATACTCTTGGTAGCTTGCCAGGCTCTCTGAGAGGGGTGATGGAATTGAACTCGGGTAGGCTGTGTTGGCCGCGTGCAAGGCAAATGCCCTACCCATTGTGCTATTGCTCCAGACCAATTAAACTGTATGTAAGATTATTTATGTATTGGTTTAGGGATTATACTCAGCTGTGCTCAAGACTTACTACTGGGTCGGTGCTCAGGGATCACACCTGGTGAGGCCCAGGTAACAGGGATTGAACCTGGGTCAGCTGTATGCATTCAAGTGCTGTAATATCTCTTGGCTCCCATCATGTAATTTTAGTTTCAGCTTTGCAGTTCTTTGTCTACTTTTACCATTTATACCGTTACTAAAAGCTTTAACTTTATCCAAGCTCTTAATAACCACATGAATAGTTTTATTTGCTTGAGATCCCAGAAAGTTCCCTTTGTAAGTATGTCTTTTCTGTCTATTTTACCTAAATTATTGTTTTTTTTCTGATATTCTCTCCCATAGAACCTTTCTAGTTTTCCTTGTAGCATGAATCACAGTGTGAAATGATTTAGTTTATTCATATTGTATCTTGGAATTGTTTGTTTGCTTTGGGTCACATCGGTAGAACTCAGGGCTTACTCCTGGCTCTGCATTCAGGGATTACTCTTAACAGTGCTCTGGGGAGCTTACAGGGTCCTGGGTTAGAACCCATTTGGTTGCCAAAGTCATGTCCACTATATAGCTGCTCCAGCCCTGTATTTTTGAAATTTTAATTAAGTTTTAGAAAACCTCCCAAGCAGTGTGCAAGAACCTCAGTGGTCATTTCTAGGGATACTCAGTTTTCTAGGTTAAACTGTCCAATGCTCAGACCCAGCAAAGCAAATATTTCTTGGGTCCAACGGCACTGGTTGGTGGGTGGATATGGGATGCTACAGGGTATGGGATGCTGGGGATAGAACTTGGTTTTTGCATACAAGGCATGTACCCATGACCAGTTTGCTGTTTCCTCAGCCCATCCATGTTGTCACTGTCCAGTCTACTCCACCTCTACTGCAATAGGACAGGAGAACTGACATCTTCTCTTTCTTGCTTGCTGGTGGATCTCTGGTACCTAGAACTATTTTTGGCACATTGAAGATACGAACAAATAATTGTGAACAGAATAAATGTGATTATAATTTAATAATGGGTTTTCAAACAGTTTTCTTATGACCTTGTCAAAGAAAAGCAATGTTCATTGAAAGGACAAATTTAACTTGGACAAATAATTTGCAATTCTTGTTAAGGTGTTGAAAATCTGATTTCAAACAAATCTTTGGCAGAAGATAAAACAAATAAAATAAGCACATGGAATAGCTGCTTGTGCAAAAAAAATATCATTACCTGCTGCCAAATCAGATTTGTTCAAAGTCATTCAGCACTGTTCCAGAATCCCTAGGGATATGCCAGCAATCAGAGTCCTAGGTCTCACTGTGGACACCCTAATGCAGGATTTCTGGAGTGTGTGGCACCTGATTCTAATTTAAACAAGCTTCCCAGATACTACGAAGGAAGTAATGGCATTTGGACCATTGAACCAGAATGTAGTTTAGAAAAATAAAAATAGTAAGAGTTTGTCTCAAAGTATCAAAGAGA